GTTTATCAAGATAGTATGGTTTATCAAGAGAGTATGGTTTATCAAGAGAGTATGGTTTATCAAGAGAGTATGGTTTATCAAGAGAGTATGGTTTATCAAGAGAGTATGGTTTATCAAGAGGGTATGGTTTATCAAGAAAGTATGGCTTATCACGAGAGTATGGCTTATCACGAGAGCATGGTTTATCAAGATAGTATGTTTTATCAAGAGAGTATGGTTTATCAAGAGAGTATGGTTTATCACGAGAGCATGGTTTATCAAGAGAGTATGGTTTATCAAGAGAGTATGGTTTATCAAGAAAGTATGGTTTATCAAGAGAGTATGGCTTATCAAGAGAGTATGATTTATCAAGAGAGTATGGTTTATCAAGAAAGTATGGTTTATCACGAGAGCATGGTTTATCAAGAGAGTATGGTTTATCAAGAGAGTATGGTTTATCAAGAGAATATGGTTTATCAAGAGAATATGGTTTATCAAGAAAGTATGGTTTATCACGAGAGTATGGTTTATCACGAGAGCATGGTTTATCAAGAGAGTATGGTTTATCAAGAGAGCATGGTTTATCAAGAGAGTATGGTTTATTAAGAGAGTATGGTTTATCAAGAGAGTATGGTTTATCAAGAGAGTATGGTTTATCAAAAGAGTAAGGTTTATCAATAGAGTATGGTTTATCAAGAGAGTATGGTTTATCAAGAGAATATGGTTTATCAAGAGAATATGGTTTATCACGAGAGTATGGTTTATCAAGAGAGTATGGTTTATCACGAGAGTATGGTTTATCAAGAAAATTTGGTATATTAAGAGAGTATGGTTTATCAAGAGAGTATGGTTTATCAAGAGAGTATTGTTTATCAAAAGAGTATGGTTTATCAAGAGAGTATGCTCATCAGGAGAGTATGGTTTATCAAGAGAGTATGGTTTATCACGAGAGTATGGTTTATCACGAGAGTATGGTTTATCAAGAGAGTATGGTTTATCAAGAGAGTATGATTTATCAAGAAAGTATGGCTTATCACGAGAGCATGGTTTATCAAGAGAGTATGTTTTATCAAGAGAGTATGGTTTATCAAGAGAGTATGGTTTATCACGAGAGCATGGTTTATCAAGAGAGTATGGTTTATCAAGAGAGTATGTTTATCAAGAGAGTATGGTTTTCAAGAGAGTATGTTTATCAGAGAGTATGGTTTATCAAGAAGTATGGTTTATCATGAGAGTATGGTTTATCAAGAGAGTATGGTTTATCAAGAGAGTATGATTTATCAAGAGAGTATGGTTTATCACGAGAGCATGGTTTATCAAGAGAGTATGGTTTATCATGAGAGCATGGTTTATCAAGAGAGTATGGTTTATTAAGAGAGTATGGTTTATCAAGAGAGTATGGTTTATCAAGAGAGTATGGTTTATCAAGAGAGTATGGTTTTTCACGAGAGCATGGTTTATCAAGAGAGTATGTTTTATCAAGAGAGTATGTTTTATCAAGAGAGTATGTTTTATCAAGAGAGTATTGGGCATTCCATCCTAAAAGGGTGTAACGTTCAAGATCTTTTGGAGAGTGTGATGGAAGGAGTTGTGAGGGTGTAATAGAAGATGTAGCAGACGGCCCATGAAGGGTTGGAGGTGAAGAGGACGCCCTTGTAAAGGTTGGAGGTGAGGAGGATGTCCCAGTAAGGGTTGGATGTGTAGAGGACGTCCCAGTAAGGGTTGGAGGTGTAGAGAACGTCCCAGGAAAGGATGGTAGGAGGGTGTGAAGGAAGTAGAAGGCGTCCCAGGAAGATCTGGTAGAAAAGTGTGGTGGAAGTTAGTACAGGAGACACTCGGAAAGGTGGTAAAAGGGTGTGATGAAAGGTGTAGGGAGAAGTCCCAGGAAGGGTTGGAAGGAGGTTGTGATGGAGATTTCCAGAGGTAGGGAGATGTAGCATCCAGCATACGCGTACGAGCTTCTTAAATTGGCGTGTAAACAAATGATATTTGGGATCTGACTCTCAAAACAGATTAACACCACGTCCCAGTAAACTCAATATACTGAACATATCTCTCCTCATTCCCACCGCAAAGAAGCAATGATAACGATAGGTTGTCTAAACACTGATGCTATTCATATCCACAACTTAATGGCTCGGTCGCATTGTTGTTTAATATCCCATAGTCACTCACAACACCAACCAGTATCGTGTGGTAGTATAATTACTCATACACGCCCACAACAGCCACTGATATTGTGTTGTAGTATAATTGCCCACTATTACGCACCCAGGTGAGAAAGGCCTGTTAACCTGAGTCGTAATTAGACTTGGAGCGAAATAAACACAGCAGTAGTTTTTAAAATTGTATTTCTCTTCATCAAGTATGATTATAGGTATTTACACGTATGTTCACCATGTAAAAGAGCTTGGAAAATAAGTGTATCACGGAAGCCAAAAGGCAAACAACAGCCAAAGAGAGAGAGACAACCGAAGGCAGCCAGCAGCTGTATGAATCTGGCAAGAGCTAACGGTGAGTGCTACCACATCACCTTAGCAACTGTCCGACCCACGTTTAGATTGAACCAAGGTACTGATTTAATGATGGGGCACCCTTAATCATTAAACCCCTAGCACCCGGTTTGTTGGTTGGGAGGCAGTCTATATAGGCGTGTGTACATACGCCGAATAAATGTAACGTACTCTTTGCGTGCCACCATGAGGCGGGCCAAAACAGCATGGGTTCGACTCCTTGGCTAGTGCAGTGTTGTTATTGATCAATACCACTCATTTCGTGGGTACAATAATATAACATACTGCTTGTTGAACTAGTACACAAACAGGGAGTAGAATGAAATTAGCTCAGAGGCGTCCACACCACCGTATGTCCTTCGATGGGGGATACAACATCTAGCTTGGCTGGATGCGCCATTGTTAAGGATTGTGTGGCCTAGTGGTCTAAAGTGTCATGCGTTTTCGCTCACCATGAGGCGGGCCAAAGCAGCATGGGTTCGACTCCTTGGCTAGTGCAGTGTTGTTATTGGTCACTACCACTCGTTTCGGGAGTACAATTTTATATATATATATATATATATATATATATATATATATATATATATATATATATATATATATATATATATATATATATATATTGCTATTAATTTGCATGAATTCAATGACATTCAATTAAATATCAATATGCATCGACACGGTTCAGGCAGATGAAGCCAAAACTGCAGTTTGAGGCCATTTACACTAATAAATGTTTCTCAATGTCTCACTTATTTAGACAATATAGACACCTAGCAGATGGTTCTTAAAAATTTCAAGCAGCATTTCTAGCTAAATTTGGCAAATTTATCCTACCGAACTGAACTTTTTCAGTTTCTGGAGAGTTTATCTGGAGAGAGTTCCGGGGGTCAACGCCCCCGCGGCCCGGTCTGTGACCAGGCCTCCTTAGGTCAGTGTCCCAGGATGCGACCCACACCAGTCGACTAACACACAGGTACCCATTTTACTGATGGGGAACATAGACAACAGGTGGAAAGAAACACGTCCAATGTTTCTACACTGGCTGGGAATCGAACCCAGCCCTCACCGTGTGAAGCGAGAGCGTTAACCACCAGGCCACCAGAGCCACTTTTTTTTTTTATTAATAACCCGTTGTTTTGTTTTTATTTAAATAAGGGTTTGTAAAAACTAGTTCGCCAAAATCATTCTGAACCTAACGAAAAAAATATATTTCACTGTGTTTGTTTAGTATTAAATTATTGTAAACAAATCTAAAATACATTTAGTTGGGTTAGGCTAAAATAAATTGCTCTTGTTATAATAAGGTTAGGTATGTAATATATATATATATATATATATATATATATATATATAATATATATATATATATATATATATATATATATATATATATATGTCGTGCCGAATAGGCATAACTTGCGATCTTGGCTTAAATAGCAACGCTCATCTTGCCATATAGGACAAGTGAAAATTTGTGTATGCAATAATTTCGCCAAAATCATTCTGAACCTAACGAAAAAAATATATTTCACTGTGTTTGTTTAGTATTAAATTATTGTAAACAAATCTAAAATACATTTAGTTGGGTTAGGCTAAAATAAATTGCTCTTGTTATAATAAGGTTAGGTAAGTTTTTTAAGTTCCTTTTGGTGCAAAAATATAAATTTTTACAACAACATTAATGAAAAAAATAAATCTTTAAACGTATAAGAGAAAATTTTAGAAAGGACTTAATTTTAAATGAGTTCTTGCTAATTGACCAGTTTTACATATTCGGCACTACATACATATATATATATATATATATATATATATATATATATATATATATATATATATATATATATATATATATATATATATATATATATATATATATGTCGTGCCGAATATGTAAAACTGGTCAATTAGCAAGAACTCATTTAAAATTAAGTCCTTTCTGAAATTTTCTTTTATTCGTATAAAGATATATATTTTTCATTAATGTTAATGTAAAAAAATTTAATTTTGCACCAAAAGGAACTTACAAAACTTACCTAACCTTATTATAACAAGAATAATTTATTTTAGCCTAACCCAACTAAATATATTTTATATAATAATTTAATACAAAACAAGCACATTGAAATATATTTCTTTCGTTAGGTTCAGAATGATTTTGGCGAAATTATTGCATACACAAATTTTCACTTGTCCTATATGGCAAGATGAGCGTTGCTATTTAAGCCAATATCGCAAGTTCTGCCTATTCGGCACGACATTATATATATATATATATATATATATATATATATATATATATATATATATATATATATATATATATATATATATATATATCGTGTCGAATAGGTAAAACTGGTATTGTCTCTCAGTCCACACTTTGCTTCCAAGTACGCAGTGATGTGTGGCTAAACTACTGCGTACTTTGACGTAGAGTGTGCATGTTCAAATCCTACTGTGGACTGAAAGATAATGTTTGTAAGGAATTGAATTTATGCAAAAATGAGCAGTAATTGATGCACTCATAAATTTTGCATGCAATCGTTTACTTTTGCAAGCTGATTTACAGTATATTATTTACTCTCACCTTGTACATTTCAGAAAGATTGCAGAGAGTGACAGTATCATTAGTGTCAGTTTAGTATTAATTTTTAAGTGGTTTTATCATACCTTGTAGTTTTTGTTAAGCTAATTCCTTTCTATCATGCGAAGTTTACATGTTAATTATAGGGAGAAAGGACGGACGATTGTGTTATCGTTTCCTGCATGTTAGATGTGCCAGTTATGAGAACAACTGAATTAATGGTACCAGCTTGTCAGAATTTTTCTTAAGTGTGGCTCGTAGGCTGATGAATTTAGCCTACTTCATCGTCTATGAGGGTCTTGTCAGACCTATGAACATAAGAGAGGAGAAACACTGAAATTTGAATCCATTATTACGGGTTCTCTCTTGGAGGGATATCCTCAAAACGTTATTTATTTCCCCTTTGTTAATACCCATCTTCCACTTATACACTTCGATCATGTCTCCCCTTATTCTAGATAAGATACTATATTTTTCTGGATAATCTTAAGGTCATGTTTGTTATAAATGCCCTACAATATTGATACCCAAGTGAGCATGAAAATGGTATACATTACCGACAGGTTGATAGGTAAGACACCTGTGCAACAGTTAAGCATCTTTATTTCAAAACGTTTCGACTACACAGTAGGCTTCTTCAGTCAAGTACAGAAGAGTGAGCAGAAGCAGAAGATGATGAAGACAATGTAATCAGTCCATCACCTCTGAACAAGTTGCACAAATGTCTTAACTTATCGTTAGTACCTGAGGTACTGAGGCAAATTCTTGGGTAATTTTGGGAAAAGGCTGGACAAATACGTGCGTGAGAATGGTTGGTTTTGAGAAGGATTTACCTTGAATGGGCCAATAGGCCTGCTGCAGTGTTCTTTTTGTATGTAATTCTTCACGTTCTGTCCATGTATTGATAAAGCCACTTGTTGGCGAAACGTCTACAAATAAAGATATCCATGTGTTTAATTAAACACATGTGTTTAATTAAGCATAAGAACATAAGAAAGTAGAAACACTGCAACAGGCCTGTTGGCCCATACTAGGCAGGTACTTCACAATCCATCCCACTAATAGGATATTTGCCAAACCCAGTATTCAATGCTATTTACTCATGTACAAGTCCCACTCAAATCCAAACCCTCTCACTCATGTATTTATCCAACCTAAATTTGAAACTTCTTAAGGTTTTAGCTTCAATAACCCTACTAGGCAGACTATATCTATTGTTATGCTCTAAGAACGTCACTACAATCACCATCTCTCTCCCAGGTCGCCCACAGCCCAAGGTGTCGTGGTGGTTCGGAGAGGCGGTGATCGACGATTCGTGGGCGCCGGTGACCGCGGGCGTGGTGTCCAACACCCTGGTGTTGAGTCCCCTCACCCGCGCCCACGCCCACTCCGTCCTCACCTGCAAGGCTGCCACCGCCCCAGTGGCGGTCACCACTACCACCGTTACCATTGATATGCACCGTAGGTATACATGGGAGTACGTGGGAATGCATGAAAATGGGGTTGGCAAATATTTTTGTGAGTGTGTTTGGGAACACTGCAGAAGGCCTACTGGCCTGCTGCAGTGTTCCTCATTTCTTATATTCTCATGAGATTAAATGGAAAATACGTAGCAGAGTGAATATGAAAATTGTATACATTATCGACAGGTTGATCTTTATAACGAAACATTTCGCCTACACAGTAGGCTTCTTCAGTCGAGTACAGAAGAGTTAGGAGAAGCAGTAGTGATGTGCAGACGATGTAATTACTCTGTATTCGAATGAAGAAGCCTACTGTGTAGGCGTAACGTTTCGGAATAAAGATAACTCACTGTTGCGCATGTGTATTTCTTATCAAAATTGCAGAGTACACAAATGACCCACACAAATTCTTCAAAATTAAGGTGCTGAGGGATTGATTATCTTGTCTTTTGTAAATATTTCTACTCTCATTCCACTTTGTACTTGAATTTATATTGGTAAACCCACTGTTTGGCGAAATGTCTACAATAAAGATGCCTAGATGGCATGGCTGCGAGTCGTGGGTCTGGTCACATTCCAAAGGTTGCAGAGGCAACAACACTGCAATGCTGCTGGCACTCTGGTGAAGAGCATTGGAAATTTAGTTGGCTACATCGCCAGTTGGAAGTATTAGTTTCTGATTGTTTGTTGTGTTGTCAGGACTCACGAAATCATGATAACACATTGAAAACAAACCACGAAACGGGTTGGGTTTTGAACCCATGGCGTGGAGACCTGGAGTTTTACGACTCACTCGCCATGGGTTCGAACTCCACCCGTTCCATGATTTGTGTTGTCAGTTTTGGGGTTTTGGAGAATATTCTGCACCATGTGTTGACAATCGAAGTTATGAGTGATGAATTTTAGTTCCATGAGGGTAATATTGGTATTACATTTCAAAATTGAAAAATTTAGGACTGCAAATTTTATAGGCACGCAGGGAGACTGTAATGATAACTGCACACTCAGTAGATTTGTTATGGTGGGAGAAAAAAATCATCAGGTTTTCCGTATTCGTAGATTTCCTGCAGATTTAAAACTTTAGGGTTGTGGTTGAGTTTAAGGATTGTAAACTCGAAGAATGGTAGAGGGTCGCCTTATTTATTCTCCAAAGTGAACTTGACTGAGTATTATACAAAAATTAGCTGAGTTTTGGGAAGTTTCATATCAATTCCGAAACTATTGAACAGAACCTCATGGTAAACTTTTTTTTTATTATTATTATTATCACACTGGCCGATTCCCACCAAGGCAGGGTGGCCCGAAAAAGAAAAACTTTCACCATCATTCACTCCATCACTGTCTTGCCAGAAGGGTGCTTTACACTACAGTTTTTAAACTGCAACATTAACACCCCTCCTTCAGAGTGCAGGCACTGTACTTCCCATCTCCAGGACTCAAGTCCGGCCTGCCGGTTTCCCTGAATCCCTTCATAAATATTACTTTGCTCACACTCCAACAGCACGTCAAGTATTAAAAACCTTTTGTCTCCATTCACTCCTATCAAACACGCTCACGCATGCCTGCTGGAAGTCCAAGCCCCTCGCACACAAAACCTCCTTTACCCCCTCCCTCCAACCTATCCTAGGCCGACCCCTACCCCGCCTTCCTTCCACTACAGACTGATACACTCTTGAAGTCACTCTGTTTCGCTCCATTCTCTCTACATGTCCGAACCACCTCAACAACCCTTCCTCAGCCCACTGGACAACAGTTTTGGTAATCCCGCACCTCCTCCTAACTTCCAAATTACGAATTCTCTGCATTATATTCACACCACACATTGCCCTCAGACATGACATCTCCACTGCCTCCAGCCTTCTCCTCGCTGCAACATTCATCACCCATGCTTCACACCCATATAAGAGCGTTGGTAAAACTATACTCTCATACATTCCCCTCTTTGCCTCCAAGGACAAAGTTCTTTGTCTCCACAGACTCCTAAGTGCACCACTCACCCATTTCCCCTCATCAATTCTATGATTCACCTCATCTTTCATAGACCCATCCGCTGACACGTCCAATCCCAAATATCTGAATACATTCACCTCCTCCATACTCTCTCCCTCCAATCTGATATCCAATCTTTCATCACCTAATTTTTTTGTTATCCTCATAACCTTTCTCTTTCCTGTATTCACTTTTAATTTTCTTCTTTTGCACACCCTACCAAATTCATCCACCAATCTCTGCAACTTCTCTTCAGAATCCCCCAAGAGCACAGTGTCATCAGCAAAGAGCAACTGTGACAACTCCCACTTTATGTGTGATTCTTTATCTTTTAACTCCACGCCTCTTGTCAAGACCCTCGCATTTACTTCTCTTACAACCCCATCTATAAATATATTTAACAACCACGGTGACATCACACATCCTTGTCTAAGACCTACTTTTACTGGGAAATAATTTCCCTCTTTCCTACATACTCTATCTTGAGCCTCACTATCCTCGTAAAAACTCTTTACTGCTTTCAGTAACCTACCTCCTACACCATACACCTGCAACATCTGCCACATTGCCTCCCTATCCACCCTCTCATACGCCTTTTCCAAATCCATAAATGCCACAAAGACCTCTTTAGTCTTATCTAAATACTGTTCACTTACATGTTTCACTATAAAGACCTGGTCCACACACCCCCTACATTTTCTAAAGCCTCCTTGTTCATCTGCTATCCTATTCTCCGTCTTACTCTTAATTCTTTCAATAATAACTCTACCATACACTTTACCAGGTATACTCAACAGACTTATCCCCCTATAATTCTTGCACTCTCTTTTGTCCCCTTTGCCTTTATACAAAGGAACTATGCATGCTCTCTGCCATACATTTATTAAATAATTGCACCAACCACTCCAAAACTATATCCCCACCTGCTTTTAGCATTTCTGTCTTTATCCCATCAATCCCGGCTGCCTTACCCCCTTTCATTTTACCTACTGCCTCACAAACTTCCTGCACACTCACAACTGGCTCTTCCTCACTCCTACAAGATGTTATTCCTCCTTGCCCTATACACGAAATCACAGCTTCCCTATCTTCATCAACATTTAACAATTCCTCAAAATATTCCCTCCATCTTCCCAATACCTCTAACTCTCCATTTAATAACTCTCCTCTCCTATTTTTAACTGACAAATCCATTTGTTCTCTAGGCTTCCTTAACTTGTTAATCTCACTCCAAAACTTTTTCTTATTTTCAACAAAATTTTTGATAACATCTCACCCACTCTCTCATTTGCTCTCTTTTTACATTGCTTCACCATTCTCTTAACCTCTCTCTTTTTCTCCATATACTCTTCCCTCCTTGCATCACTTCTACTTTGTAAAAACTTCTCATATGCTAACTTTTTCTCCCTTACTACTCTCTTTACATCATCATTCCACTTATCGCTCCTCTTCCCTACCGCACCCACTTTCCTGTAACCACAAACTTCTGCTGAACACTCTAACACTACATTTTTAAACCTACCCCATACCTCTTCGACCCCATTGCCTATGCTCTCATTACCCCATCTATCCTCCAATAGCTGTTTATATACTTACCCTAACTGCCTCCTCTTTTAGTTTATAAACCTTCACCTCTCTCTTCCCTGATGCTTCTATTCTCCCTGTATCCCATCTACCTTTTACTCTCAGTGTAGCTACAACTAGAAAGTGATCTGATATATCTGTGGCCCCTCTATAAACATGTACATCCTGAAGTCTACTCAACAGTCTTTTATCTACAAATACATAATCCAACAAACTACTGTCATTTTGCCCTACATCATGTCTTGTATACTTATTTATCCTCTTTTTCTTAAAATATGTATTACTATAACTAAACCCCTTTCTATACAAAGTTCAATCAAAGGGCTCCCATTATCATTTTCACCTGGCACCCCAAACTTACCTACCACACCCTCTCTAAAAGTTTCTCCTACTTTAGCATTCAGGTCCCCTACCACAATTACTCTCTCACTTGGTTCAAAGGCTTCTATACATTCACTTAACATCTCCCAAAATCTCTCTCTCTCCTCTGCATTCCTCTCTTCTCCATGTGCATACACGCTTATCATGACCCACTTTTCGCATCCAACCTTTACTTTAATCCACATAATTCTTGAATTTACACATTCATATTCTCTTTTCTCCTTTCATAACTGATCCTTCAATATTACTGCTACCCCTTCCTTTGCTCTAACTCTCTCAAAAACTCCAGATTTAATCCCATTTATTTCCCCCCACTGAAACTCTCCTACCCCCTTCAGCTTTGTTTCGCTTAGGAACAGGACATCCAACTTCTTTTCATTCATAACATCAGCAATCATCTGTTTCTTGTCATCCGCACTACATCCACGCACATTCAAGCATCCCAGTTTTATAAAGTTTTTCTTCTTCTTATTTTGAAAAAAAAAAATTCTTCAAAGCATGAGCAGGTGAACCAACAACCCGAAAATTTTACCAATCCTTCACCCATGGCCTGGCAACACGTACCTTCATCTCACCTTGTTTGTATATATATTGCTATATCGCGTGTGCCATGTATTGACTTGTTAAATCCCCCTGTGCAGGCGACAAGTTGCCTTTAAAATAAAGGATTTGTCTGCTGTCACTATACTTGTTGGCAATCCTGACATGCTAAGACTATGTCATGAGTGTTGCAAAGTGGGACAAAGGTAATCAAGAGGATGAGGTGGGAAATGGGATGGTGTGATGGAACGGTGAGAAGTGTGAGAGATGCGCGGGGAAGAAGGGTGTGAAAAATGGGAATGGAGATGATTGGAAATAAATAGGAAGTAGTCTCTCTGTCTCTGTCTGTCTGTCTGTCTGTCTGTCTCTCTCTCTCTCTCTCTCTCTCTCCTCTCTCTCTCTCTCTCTACACAGGATTTTATAAGGCTTGGTTAAGGTTCCTAAATTTCTTTACAAGCTAAAAGCTGTTACCTACATCAGCTCATTTGAAAGCATTTCATTGTTAAGAAATGTACAAGTAGGGGACAAGATAAAGCTGGAGCCATTAGTGGACTAGCGATTTCATTTGGTCATCTGACTTTCTTTCTCTCTCTCTCTCTCTCTCTCTCTCTCTCTATATATATATATATATATATATATATATATATATATATATATATATATATATATATATATATATATATATATATATATCTGTCTCTATCTATCTATATATCTATCTATCGTATACCTATCTATCTATCTATTTCTCTCTCTCTCTCCCTCTCTGGCTCATCCCTCTCCAGCCAGTGCTGTCTCTAATCCCTGCTGTGTTTGTCTGTCTTTGTCTGATGCATTGTGTGATCCTTGGGAAAGTAAATATAAATATGTCTGAGTTACTTCATCAAAGTGATTTTCCTTCTCAGCATCCTCTCTCTCTCTCATCACTCTGGCAGAATATATTAATTTTAGGAGACAAATATTGGCTACATGAGAATCTCCCACCTTCATAAAAACCTTAACTTCACCTCCCGCTTCTGTTAGAAATCTCAGTTTTCTGCCTAACTTATCCCTTTCTTTTAGCGCTTTTCTTATACTTCTGTCTCCAAAACAAACATCTTCGTTATCTTTCCTCAGACGTGCCATTTTCCTTCTTCATATTTTTTTGCTAATTATTTTTGCTTCTGTTTAGTTTTCAGTATATTCTCAAATTATTTTCCCCCGTCCTTCATCCCCCTGCCCTTCTTGACGCATTCTTGCCTCTCTCTCCTCATCTTCCTAGAATCACTACCTCCTCCACTTGCTTAATCACGTCCTTTTCTTGACTGTAATGCCGTTACCAGCTACTCCACCCTCTCAAGAGCCTCGGAAGAGCTCCTTTAGATTTTTTCCAGTCATATCTTTTCTCCTCACTCAGTCATCTTCTGGTGTCTTTCAAGAAGGTCCTCCTACTCTCTTAACACTCTCTTTACTATCACTTCAATTAGTAAGTCCATTGTCTTCTTCATATTTTGGTATCTTTTGTCTCCTATACTAAGGTCGTGCGGTTCTCTGGTGTTCGCTTTATTTTTATATTCCATCATTTGTTCTCTCTTTTCTTCTACATCGTCTACTTTGCCTTCCACCAAAGATGTTTCTCCAGAAGTGTGATACATCTCTGTACTCTCAGGCGAAACGTTTCGTTAATTAAGATTTCTTGTGTTGCACGAGTGTGTTACCTTGCAGCTTGTCGGTACTGTACACAATTTACAATATAATGCCAATATTTACCAGGGACCCTAAGGGTCCACTTCAAGGGTTCCCAAAGATTTTTTGGGAATCCCAGGAACCTTCAATGACGTCCCTCCACCCAGTACCTACTAATCAGGGTCCTTCATGGACCTTTCTCCTTCAACGAACCTTAACTCTCTCTCCCATCATGCAAGCCTCCTTCTCCCCCTCCCACCAGCCACACCACCCTCCCCCTCCCACCAGCCACACCTCCCTCCCCCTCCAACTAGCCACATATCCCTTCCCTCTTCCTCCAGCCTCACTTCCCTCCGCTTCCCTCTAGCCACACCTCCCTTTTCTCTCCTTCCAGTCACACCTCCCTTCCTTCTCCCTCCAGCCACACCTCCCTTTCCCTCCTTCAAGGCACACGTCCCTTCCCCCTCCCTTCTTCCCTCCCGTGAGAAAGTTGGCCAGCTCGTTAACGATTCAGGAAAAGTGAAGAACCTACAATTTTGTGGAAATTTGTGGTGCAGATGGTGTGCCTCAGGTGGCTGATGACACCACCTGTACCACCTGCCACGGCACCTACTGCAGAGGGACAAGAACCTGGCTACCCCTTGCTACCCCTCATCACCACTATTACCACCTCCACCATCACTACCACAACTATACCTTGTCACTAACCTGCGTCACCATCACCAGCTCCACCACCATCCTCTCATCCCCTACCACCATTACAACTACCACCATCACAACTACCACCACCACGACTACCATCATTATCCTCTCATCCACTACCACCATCACTACTACCACCACCACGACTACCACCACCATCCTCTCATCCACTACCACCATCCTCTCCTCCCCCCTCCTCCCATCACTACTACCACTTCCACACTCACCACCAGATAATACACGCTGAGTCATTTATCTAGACAGAAGCAGAAAATTAAGAAACTTATGTAACATTTGGGAATCTTCATTAGGGAGTTTGAGGTAATCAGTCCCTCAACCTGGAGTCGATGTGTCTAGTCCATCAGTCTTGAAGAAGCCACTGGCTGGCGAAACATTTCCTTGATAAAGTGTCCCAAAATGGAGTATAATGCGATACTTTGTTGACTGCGTTTTGCCCGCATAGTGAGCTGTGTGAGACTTAATAAAGCCCACTGTGTGGGCGAAATGTGGTCAATAAAGGATCACATTATACTCTGTTTTGTCCAGGTGTCTCAGTTTTCAACTTGTCGATTTTGTAAACTACTTACATGGTTGGTAGAAGTATATAGCTCTCAATACATCAGTAGATAGGCTCGGTGTGCATTCCCAAGTTGATAGGCTCGGTGTGCACTTCCAAGTAGATAGGCTCGGTGTGCATTCCCAAGTTGATAGGCTCGGTGTGCACTTCCAAGTAGATAGGCTCGGTGTGCATTCACAAGTTGATAGGCTCGGTGTGCACTTCCAAGTAGATAGGCTCGGTGTGCATTCACAAGTTGATAGGTTCGGTGTGCACTTCCAAGTAGATAGGTTTGGTGTGCACTTCCAAGTAGATAGGCTCAGTGTGCACTTCCAAGCAGATAGGCTCGGTGTGCACTTCCAAGCAGATAGGCTCAGTGTGCACTTCCAAGTAGATAGGCTCGGTGTGCACTTCCAAGTAGAGAGGATCGGTGTGCACTCCCAAGTAGATAGGCTCGGTGTGCACTCCCAAGTAGATAGCCTCAACGTGCACTCCCAAGTAGTTGGCCTAGGTGTGCACTCCTAAGTCCTCTGCTAGCTGTCTTCCCCATGTATCCCCATGTACAACCCCTCCACCATGTACTATCGTCCTCACATACAAGCGTGATACGAACGGTGAATTGGTAGAAAGTACCCAACTATGCAGGTACTATTGTCCTAACATACAAATGTGCAACAGAGAGTTAGTAGGTTGGTAGACAGCAACCACCTGACAAGATATCATCGTCCTGACGAATAAGAATGAAACAGACAGTCAGCAGGCTAGTAGACAGGAACCAGCTAGGAACCAGGAACCAGCTAGGAAAATACAACTGTTGTACATAAGAGAGAGGAATAGATCTGTTGAATATTTTTCTTCTCTGACAAAGGTGTTAATCTTATACTTTCTGATTAACGACAGCGTAAGATGACGGGCAAGTCGCAAACTTCTGCTTAAATTCAATATGCAATCATTTTTCCTCTTCAATGTGTTTCTTAATAGTTTTTTCTCTTTCAGTATTCCAAATAACTAAACAAAACAAAACAAAACGGGTGAGGTGTAGTAGTTGGAGACGGCGTTACAGGTGGGCGGGGTCTACTTGAGCCAGTACTGAATGTCTAATATGTTCTCTCTCTCTCTCTCTCTCTCTCTCTCTCTCTCTCTCTCTCTCTCTCTCTCTCTCTCTCTCTCTCTCTCTCTCTCTCTCTCTCGGGTTTACAGTTCGACCGTTGTCGGTGGAGATCACAGGAGCTGCCGTCAGCGGCTCGGTGAGAGCAGGTGACATGCTTGACCTGACTTGCACTGCCCGCGGGTCACGACCACAACCCATCATCTCCTGGTACAAGGGAGCAACTCCCATTCCAACAGAAAGCTCACAAAGGGTAAGTGTCGGTCATTATTATTATTATTATTATTACTATTATTATTATTATTATTATTATTATTATTATTATTATTATTATTATTATTATTACTACTACTACTACTACTACTACTACTATTGAACTAGACGTAGTAATAGTAATAGTAATATTGTAGTAACAGTAGTAGTAGCAGTTGTAGTAACGGCATTATTATTGCTACTAGCAGTAGTAATAACAGTAGAAGTAGTAGTAGTAGTAGTAGTATACTATTCATGGGGAAACGCTGAAGACAGGAGTCATACAGAGTCATGGAGATGGGAAGCAATCAAATTTATATCCAAGGATGCGAATCAATGACCATTTTCTCCTGACGACCAAAAACACCCTCACCCCTTTCACCCCTTCCTGTGTACACAACTACCTATATCCACTCTATCCCACTTTATTCTTCCCTATCCCTCTATAATCCTCTCCCACCCTCACAATTCTTCCCCTCTCCCAAAACATTTACAATCTGAAAGAATTATTTTCCTGTTTTTTTTTGTTCTTTTCTTTCTAAGTGGCCTGTGGGCTTGAGGAAGTAATAGCTTGGAGCAAGCAATGCCTGGGTTATTGTTTTGGCTTGGGGAAGCCAGCTAACTGGGTTTGTCGGTTCTAAGTGGCAATACGCGGATTGTACTGTAGTGTGGACGAGTATTGTGTGTGTGTGTGTGTGTGTGTGTGTGTGTGTGTGTGTGTGTGTGTGTACTCACCTAGTAGTACTCACCTAGTTGAGGTTGCAGGGGTCGAGTCCAAGCTCCTGGCCCCCGCCTCTTCACTAGTCGCTGTGTGTGTATGTGTGTGTGTGTGTGTGTGTGTTTGTGTGTGTGTGTGTGTGTGTGTGTGTGTGTGTGTGTGTGTGGTGTGTGTGTGTGTTGTGTGTGTGTGTGTGTGTGGTGTGTGTGCGTGTGTATGTGTTTGTGTGTTTGTGTATGTGTGTATGTATGTGTGTGTGCTTGTGTGTGTTTGTGTGTGTGAATGTGTGTGTGTATGTGTGTGTGTGTATGAGAGTGTGTGTGTGTGTATGTGTGTATGTGTGTATGTATGAGTGTGTGTATGTGTGTGTGAGTGTGTGTGTGTGAGAGAGAGACAGTAATTGATCGGCTCTTTTGTTTACATATGAACACATGTTTGGAGTCACCTTCCACCTGTGTCCCCCCTCGGGTGTTTGTCTGTCCCCCTCTCGGGTGTTTATCTTGTGTGTCCCCCTTCGGGTGTTTATCTTGTGTGTCCCCCCTCGGGTGTTTTTCTTGTGTGTCCCCCTTCGGGTGTTTATCTTGTGTGTCCCCCTCGGGTGTTTTTCTTGTGTGTCCCCCTCGGGTGTTTGTCTTGTGTGTCCCTGTTTCTCTTTTTCCTCTATGCCTTCACATTCTTTTTCAGTCCTACTATTTCACCACCGTATTCCTCCCTTTTCTCTACGTTTCCAATTTCTCTCCCGTCCGCTGGCCCCTTCACTTTCCTCTCTCACACCTTCAGTTTCCCCCCTCATCACCTTCAATTTCCCCTCTCACCCTCTTCTCATAATCCTATCACTGAGTTTCTTATGATTTCTTAAAGAGATGAATCGTCACTGTTCCGCTTGGAATCATCTAGGTAAACCCAGTGCCCATCTCTCTTCCTTTCCGTCTCCCCTCTCTTAATCTTCCTTTACCCCTTTCTTCTTTCCCTCTTGTTCCTAATCTCCCTCTCTCCCTCCCTCCTTGTCCCTTCCCGCTCTCTTTCATCTCTCATCTGCTTCCCTTGGCCCTTCTTCCTCACTATCCCTCTCTCCTCACCCCCAGTTTACCTCTTCCCTTACTCCCTCTCTCCCTTTCCATCTCTCTCTCTCTCTCTCTCTCTCTCTTATGCTCAATTCTTCTCCTTTTAAAATCATAATTTTGCCAAGATTACTAATTCTTTCATCTGATTTATGACAGCTTCACCTCCAATTTATTATCCGAAAATTCTCCAGGATTTACCAATGTTCCTTATATCCTCCTCTCTCCCTCTTCCCCTCTTCCTCTCTCCTCTCTCTCTACCCCTTCTCTCTATAGAACGAGAAACAAATGCATAAAAGTTGGGAACTACAAGGGCACTCATACCTCGCCTTGGAGAGGCACTTCGTCTACTAATATCTTTATTCTGTTGGACATTTTCGTGTGTTACACAACACGGCATCTCCAAAGCCTTGTCTTCGGTGCCAGTACACTTGTCTCCTATCATATCTAGCTCACTTGACAGCTTGTCTTGGATGTAAATCTAATATTACGTGCATTCCATGGACTTTTGATTTATTGAACTTTTGTTGAGATGAGATTTGTTTGGATTTTTAACCCGGGGGAGGGTTAGCTACCCAGGATAACCCATGGAAGCCAGTGCATCATCGAGGACTGCCTGTCTAATTTCCAGTGAGGTTCTTTAATCTCCTCCCCTCAGGATGCCACCCGTAACAGTCGACTAATACACAGGGGCCGTCTTACTCCTGGTTGAACAGAGGCAA